TTTAGCTTCAATTACCTGCTCAACAAGCGAAGTTGGAGGAAACATGTCGTTGACAAGAGTATGAAGTGACGTGTAAGATTTCTTGACATCTATCCTATGTCCTGTTGCTACCTCTCCCTGCCCCATTTGTAAACACAAAGTCCCTCAGTACACATGTGAAGACACACTCATCTCGAATTCTAAGAGAACTGACATTACCTTAGGATTGATTATGAAAATCTTGCCCTCTGGGATTCCAAGTTTTCTGTAACTCAGCTCATCGGTGTCTCTGTTTCCAAATCCGGCGTAGAACGGGTTGTAATCCTTTGGGAAGAGTTTCCTGATATCCTGCACATTTCATATGTACATTTCTTCTCTTTTAATTCAAGCCGCTAGTTTTTAACCATTCTCTCTTATTTCACCAGAAAAAAAACAAGAGAGCAACTTTTTACCTCCAAACAGGCGATCTTGAATTCGTGAGGTGCCCTTCTTATCACTGCAAAGCAGTTATGAAGTATATGAGAAAGAGAACGAGAGATCATTTATTATTAATTACAAATACGTTAAATTAATCTCCAAGGCATGAAGATAAACAAACCTTCACGGTACAATGCTGGAAATAGCCCGTCTGGTGAAATGACTACAGGACCACTTGGCATAGCTTTTCCATCCTACAAGCCACAGGCCAAAAACAAAAAAGAATTCCATAAGAAGCCGAGAGATCTCTCATGACAACCTTTGTCTATAGGTTACACATTTATTTTTACTTCCTAAGGCTTATCTTATCAATAAGGATTAGGTATGTATTTAACTTCTATTCCACAAGTGAAAAAGATATCACTCTTACCTGCTTTAGATTAAGTAAGAAACTTCTCGTTAGATATGCCTGAACGATGGCACGAGCACTCAGGAACAGCAGTTGATATCCATTCTCCTGAAATATACAAAGCCATGTGAATCATTTAGTGAGATCCACAATTACGGGGTGCTAATTTTAAGATATCCAATCTGTTGATCAAGAAAAGAAACAACTTAAAGTGCTAGAAGCAATACTGACTTAACCCTTGACTATTATTACCTCTATGGCAGAAAAAAGCTTGGCTACACCAGACTGCGTCCAATCCTTTCCAACCAAAGGCATGAACTGTCCTAACACATCAGATCTGAAAAGCACACAGATCATCACAGTAAGTGCATATCTATTATCATTATAATGTCAAAACAATTCAGTAGCCATAAGGATCCAAAGCTGTACTTTGTTATAGTTCCATCGACATCTGAAATCACAATCTTGGTGTCCCATCTCCACCGGTAAATATGTGCATCGACCTGATATAAAACCAAAGAAGTATTTGAAAACCAAAGTTAGATGAGTTTTCTCCAGCTGCTATCCAATTACTAACTTATGTTAACCATCAACAAACCTGTTGTGTTCCAAGAACTCTCGTGGAGAAACTAAAAGTTATTATATTCTGACCATCTTTCAGATTCAGAGATGTGATCTGTTCATTGGTAGGAACATTGGTCCTCACAAGTTGTCTACGTGGAGACTCATGGCGACTCTCTGTTGGTTCCGGTGAGTTCTGTTCTCCAGGTTCAGAATCAACAAACAGATCTTCTTCGCTCGAGGAGTTACTACCTGTATGCTCGACTGTTTTAACCCTTCTAAACGGAATGGGCCAGAGTCTCCATCTTCTTCCAGAGGAAGGAGTAACTGGAGTTTCATCATCCTTAGCTTCCTTCGGCTCATTTTCTTTCACAGAAATCACGTCTTCTGGCTGAATATCTAAGTCTAGATCAAACACAGCTTTCCCAAGCACAATTCGAGCAGCGTTCTTCCATGGCATATACGTTTCTCCAATCCTAACAACCAGGTTTTCACTATCAAGAATTGATGTTGCCGAATTTTTGTACTCTTCCATGGAGATCCTATGCGCATCAAAGACCTCAGCAGCTGCGCTAAGTCCCATACCCTGACGAAGCTCATCCTTGCAAAGTGATAGCTCATATCCTTTATCAGGTTTCGCTAAGTCCACACCAGAAGTCGTAGCCACTGAATCCACAGTCTTCCCATTCTCGTTATCCTCCTCAGTCGGTTTAGATGGACTCTGTTGCTCATCATCCTCCCTCGTTGAATCTATAGAGACTCTGTCAGGAGCCTGATCGTCTGATTCTACAATCCCGCCTTCCTGGTTGTCAATCAAAATGGCAGTTTCTGCAGATGTTCTTGGTTGTTCATCCTTACATTCTGACTCGGTATTAGAATCAACCGAAATCCTGACCTCCTCAGTTGTTTTTACTTCTTCTGTTGTTATTTGAGTTATAGAAGCTTCAGAACCAGTAACAAGAGTATTTCTTGTTTCAATAGCCACTTCATCTTCACTTCTCTCATTTTCCATGATGGCATTAGGTAGAAGCTCGCCTTCTTTTAGATTCCGGTCCTCAAAAGAGAGACCTTGTTCGTCCGACTCTGACTGCTCCAGACAGCTCCCAAGAAGGTCTCTTTCAGAATCTTTTTCGGTATCACCATGAGAATGGGAATCTAAATCGATACGCTCATCACACACGCTGTCTACTTTTTCAGATACAATATTAACAGCATCAGATGACTCCACTTTGCTGATATACTCAGTCTCCCACGAAGTCTCTGACGAAGCAAACTCGGTATTACCTTCACAAAACTCAGTCCCATCACCAGGAGCCAAATGAAACTGAGGAGTGTTTAACCGTAAATTCTCAGCCTGCTGCTCTTCCGCTGACACAGGAGCTGTTAGTATATGTCCATCAACACTCACCAAAACCACTTCAGAATCTGAGCCTGGAGAATCCCCATAATTTTCCACATTCAGATTCTCAAACCGAGCACTACCATATTCCGAGGTAGGAGAAGGCGGATCATCCTGAAAATCATAAAACCTCCCATTACAATCAGACTCTGACCTCTCCAGCCGACTCAAAGAGTTGAAACCCTCTCGCAACTGCTCAGCACCAGCGTCAGATAAACTATGCTCAATTCGTAAACCAACGCCGTTAGTCTCATTGCCATTGCTATTCTCACTCCCTGTAATCAAACTGCTGGTGTCACTAGCTGCAGGATCAACTTCCCTGATGAAATATGCTTCACCAGAATTATCAAGATACATGTGGAAATCCGCTTCGGTGCCATTTACAGAGATCTTCACAAACTTCTCTGCGCCTTTGAGAACACCTTGGAACTTACCAAACCTAACATACCAAGGCGTGCTACGAAACGAACCATCTTCTTGTTGCACAACGATCACGTCAATAGCACCACCAAATGGATGAAATGGTGTAGCAACAGAGTAAACGCCTTGAGAAATCAAACTCCTAACTTTTCCAACCAAACTCATTTCCTCAAAAATCTTAGAGAGAAAAAAGCTTTGACTTTTTACTGTTTTAAATCCTAAATCATATACAAATGTCTCTACAGACTAGAGAGAGCTTCTAGACCAGAAAAAGTAAATTCCAGCCTGCAAATGAAGCAAAACAACCCAACAATCCAAAATTAGAGAAGCCACAATAACATGTGAGACTAAAAAACGAAAAAAGCACAGAGAGGAAAATCGAATCAGATCAAAATTAAGAAGAAAAACCCAGCAAATTCCATTCGTAATATTCCGATTTCAGGCATGCAGCGTTAGCAATTCCAACAAGCATCAGTTTTTGAACTAACCCAAAACAGATAAAGATCAAAAAGGGTTTTCATTTCTGGACTGATGCAAACGAAATACGATAACAGTCTACGAAGAAACTAGGATTCAGCTTTTTCTAAATCTCAGGAGACAGAAATCGCGATAACGAAATAGACCAAATTTGAGGTTAAACTTACAGATTAAGCGATGAATCCGAGGAAATTAAACGCCGCGGGAAGAAACGACGAATCCCGTTGCTCCTAATCGAGATTCTATTGAATTGAAATGGATTTTTATGATATTTCTCCTATTATATTGATTGCATTATATTGGGTTCCTATAAAGATTCCCGATTTATTTTTAAAATCCAAGTAGAGAAGACTTTTCTTTGCTTCGTTGATTGTGTTTTACCGGTGGGGGATTTTCCAAGAAAGAGAGAAAAGATGTTTGTTTGGATAACCAGAAAAATTAAATCCGCCATGACTAAGCGACACTGTAATTTGCTTAAATACAGATGAGTCGTCTGTGAAGGGAGGAGGGAGAATTACGAGAAGGGTCCAGGGTTTTCGTCGTAATTAGTACATCTTTTAAAGGGTATGATTGGTATTCCATTTCACTCGACTTGTGGTAGAAGATGCTACGAAGTACGACGAATCTCAAAGGAAAAACCAAAAACAAATGCCTTGATTTTAGACCGAATTTGTATTATGACTCGTGAGTTTCTCATTTCACATTTTCTTCCATACTTGAAATTCAAAATTAAATTTCGTATTGGAAGATTAATGGTAAAAAACAGGTTTGGTAAAGACAATAAGTAAAATTTAATATTGAAAAAAGTTTGTCAAAATGAATAAAAATGGATGGACCGACCTGTGTCGTGTCTTGAGTTCGTCCCTGTAGTTTGAAGTTGGGATGGTGTGTAACATCTTTTGAAGTAAAATTTATAAGTTAAGATGAAAAAAATAATAATAATGGATAGTCGTGGCCCTCCTGGGAATATTACATCCGGTGATCCACACGATGAAAGCATATAAGTGGTATATTCGTTTTCTATACGTAAAAGACAATTTTTGCTTGTTTACATTACATCACGAACCAGAACTATACGACATTCCTAATAGGCTTAGATATAATAATGTAAACGTGCCACTTTTTTCCTTATATATAAGAGACATGCAAGTTAATTCATCAAATTACGTTTTGTTTGTTGAAGAAAAATAACCTATGCTTTTGTTTTCGTTTTTCTTTTTTTATAGACCTTATTGGCTTCCGGTTAGCCCCGGTAAGAACGCACCAAGGTGCTACAAAGTGGACTCATCCTAAGAACTACCACACCGCCTATTCCGAGTTTGGAGTGCCTTCCGACTAATGCCAGAGGGTAATTAGACCACCTGCATTTCTAATTACCAGGTAAACCAATTGGGCCTAGGCCCAACTGACAGACTTTCCACATAAATGTGATTTTGTTTCCAGGAAGGATCGAACCCGCGTATGAGAGTTTCACCCTTCACCAAGGCTTCCCCTTTCCACTGGACTACAGGAGTGCGGGCTTGTTTTCGTTTTTATTAGCATCAAGTGTTCAGTTTATTGTTGTGACATTATGGATCAAATATATAGCTGAAAACAATGACATTCTTATATATCCATATAGCCGTCGTGTTTATTACAATGTTACATTTCGGTGCTATGGATCTAAATTTGTTTATTCGATTTTATCTTTATTCTGTCGGAATTTTGCTTCTTCATCTGCGGCTGATATTTCGCAAATTTCTCGCATTTTATCAATCAATATGTATTAAATGTAACAAGTGTTTTAGATGTGTTTAATAAGCATCATCGTTTACAAGTGTCCAAATGTGACTACATTCTCACCTAACTCGTGTTTCCATTGAAGTTACCAAATCACGGTGGTCGGTTCCATAATTTATACGCAAAGACCTTTTTAGAGCATCTCTATAACAGCTACAGTAATTTTATACTATGAATAGTTGTTGTATTTTTAGTTTTTCCTCCTTTTTGTCTCTCTAGCGGATAATAAAAAATTGATACAGAGGCGAATAATGAGACAGGTGCAACGCACGTGTTACACATTCTCACCTCGTACCCACTAGGCCACTACGTTCTCGCTTCCTCTTTTGGTTAAGACTCTAGAGTTTTGAATTCTTGTATATACTTGAACAGTAAAGCCCAATGGGCTTGTGAGAGCAGAATTTTCCGTGACACTGTCGTTTTGCTTGGTAGTCTGAAATCGGGTCAAACGCCATTTTTTGTTTCTTTCTCCTAAAAAAAAATCAAACACAGGAAAAAAGCACGAGAAGCTACTCTACGACTACGATTACCGACCGCTCCTCGCCGTCCTCATCCTCTTCACCCCCAATTTCATCCCTCGGATGGCGGTGGAGATAAAGTCTCTCACCATTTCTGACGACTCTAGGCCGATGATTCTCTTCCAAAAGTTTGGATTCACTCAACTGGACACGTTAGCGTCTCTGTTTCCTCCGTATCAGTAGCGTCCCCTTCCGCTGTTTGACTGTTTCGATCCCGGATCCGCTTCTCCAGGTGGTCCTCGAGATCCATCAAAACCCTAACTTCTGTGTACTCGATTCCCCGTACATCCTAGATCTCTTCACATTCCGGGCTCTCTCTCTCCTCCGCCGGGTTCTATGTACGAACACTTGTATACGGTCATTTCTCTGATCGAGTACTCTCTCTTCTTCGTGAATTGGGTACCGGGAACCAGTATTTCGATGAAGGTCCGAACAGAGAAGTATAATCTAGATCCGAACGGGTCAAAGGACTACCTCCTAGTCGGGTCAACCCGATTACCCGGATTGTATCTCTTCTTCTTCCTCAGCTACTTAGCTTTCCTCGGTCTCTGGGGCTATGTCTGCGTGGTCAATAAAGGGGTCGTTCATAGGATCCACGTTCTCATGGCGGCTCTCCTCCTAATGAAGGCCCTGAATTTGATCTGCGCCGCAGAGGACAAGCACTACGTGAAAGTCACCGGAACTCCTCACGGCTGGGACGTCCTATTCTACATTTTCCAGTTTATCCGCGTCGTCCTTCTCTTCACGGTGATTGTGTTGATCGGAACTGGCTGGTCCTTCCTGAAGCCGTTCTTGCAGGAGAAAGAGAAGAACGTGTTGATGGTCGTCGTCCCGCTTCAGGTTCTCGCCAACATAGCTTCCATTGTGATCGGAGAGACTGGACCTTTCATCAAAGACTGGGTAACTTGGAACCAGATATTCTTGCTTGTAGATATTATATGTTGCTGCGCAATCTTGTTCCCAATTGTTTGGTCGATACGTGCACTGAGA